TGTTCCCTAGGTAACCAGCACATGCAGACACTCACCATATATTTGTGTGCCTGTGTAAACAGTCTGCAGATAAGGAATCTTTCATCAAATGAAGCTCTGATATTTGTTCGTTTTCTTCCTGCTCGTGTATAATACTCCCAGATCCCAGTTTCAGTTTCGTCCATTCCTGTGATGGAGAGAATCCCAAATAAACCAGAAAAAGAGCGTATGTACATGGTCCTTGTACATCATAGTTGCTGTAATCCTGATGGGAGTGGAAAGTTTTTGAAGGGGGAAACTTTGAAGATGGGCTGTCTGCATTGAACCTTAATGTTGTGTATTATCTGAATTGTGTAGTACATTTAGGTGACTTTCCAAAGTTTGATTTACTCGACCTCCTTTAAAAGAGAGAACTAAGCTATATACTCTGSTAGTTTGATTTTTGTTGGATAACTGTAGTCTCTTGCATATGCCAATATTGATTTTTTAAACTATGGAGTCCATTGTTTACCACTCCATTCACAAGGTACGAGACGTTTGCTGGTAATAAAATAATGTGATGTTTGTGGAATCGAGCATCTCTACTTTTGTAATGGGTCATTTTATTTAAATTCACACACATGTTGGATTACTATTGTTTATTATATGGTCTGTAATTGATTGAATTGAAGAATTTACAGGCGCCTCTAATAGAGTGCTAGGGGGTCCAATCGACGAATAACTTCTAAAGTGGAGATATTTCCTCATATAAAATTTTTATGGATGATGACAGATCGTGGGGGTCGAAGCTAGAGAGAGAAAGATTTATATGTTTATCTGTGAAGTCAAATTATGTGGTTTTTTGTTTCTTATYAAGAGAACTCCCTCCTTGATTCTGAAAGAAGGCATCTGCCACGTTCTGCTTCCTTATTTATATTCCCTCCCCGGGCAAAGGTAAGCAGAAAACCAGAAACCAGATGCTCTCTGAGAAAGAGAGAGAGAAATGAGGAGCATGAAAGGAGAGGTGTTACTGAACCTGCCCGCAGAGAAAGCATGGCAGATGTACAGAGACAACGATGTGGTCAGTAAAATCAATCCTGAGCTGCTTTCTCGAGCTGAATATGTTCACGGAGATGGTGGTCCTGGTACTCTCAGGCTTTTCAAGCTTGGCCCAGGTATCTCTCTCTCTCTCACTCTAAAAATTCCTTGTTTCGATATCTTGTCCTGCCTACTTAGTACTTATAGAAACCTGTAATCTTCTTATTGTACCACTACCCCATGAGTCCATGACTAATGGGGCAGTTGTGRGCGAAAGGTAAGAGCCACAGTCTCAGTCTTTGCCATGAATCTGTACCTGAATTCTTAGTCTTTGTTGAACAATCCCTGAATGCAGAGAAGAGAAAAGAGACATTTTTCTCTGTTCTTTGTTGTCTCTCTCTTGTGCATGGGGAAGTATATTGTCCATTCCGTATTGGGTTAAAAAAAGGTGTTGTGATTATGATGATGACACGTGCAGCTGTGAGAGGCTACGTGGAAGAATCAGTGGAGAAGATAGAGAAGGTGGAGACAGGTAGATCAGTGAGCTACGACGTGGTGGGAGGAGAGCTGAGGAAGATGTACAATCCCTACAAAGTGACCTTCACATTCACTCCAGTGGAGGGCAAAGAGAAGGAAATGTGTGTTGCGCAGTGGAAAGCTGAATACGAGCCACTCACTCCCACAATTCCTCCGCCGGAGAAGGCAAGGGATGCTGCCTTGCAATTTCTCCAGTGCTTTGACAAGTTTCAGCTCAGCTACTAGCCAAACTCAAAACACCTTTTGAATTTCTATGTATGAAAATAACAATGGAGAGGAATGAATGGATATATAGAGCAGTGTATGAACTCTCTGTGTCTCCTCTCCTGTGAAAAACCAGTTGGAGTTGTCAGTTCAGTTGAGTGTTATCTGTGAATTTAATGTATTGTATGTAAATCCAATGGTGAAGTCAAGAAGAATGTCATGTTATTTTATGTGGGTTGGCTTTTCTGAACCAAGCTATTTTATATTTTTCACATATATTAGTATTTGCAAGATAAAATATCATTTCTACCAGTAAAAGAGTATTGTAGTTTCCATCAGCAATGACATTGTTCAAAGCTAAATATGCCCAAAAAAAAAAAAGAAAAAAAAAGGGAAATAGAAGTTGCTGATGGGTCACCTAAATCTTGTTCATTTGTTGCACAAAATGTTGGTTTTATTTTCATACATGATTTGTTATTTAAGATTTAGAACCTTATTCATCTATATTATTTGACTTCCAGATTTTGTCAGCATTTTGTGATTTGTTCTAAAAATAGAAATCCTCCTGTTCCTATTTCTAGTGTAAAGTTCATATCCCCTTTAGAAAAAAGGGAAAGGGATCATTTTCTATTTATTTGAAATTTCCGCTATCGTAATCGATTGCATGTCCATTCTTTCAACATCATGGTATTACTTTTTGAGAAGATAGATTGTATAACATTKCAAATCTAACCTATTAAAAAAAAGTTAATATTGAAAATGAGCATAAAGAACGTATGTGTATATTAAATCGATGTCACGTGGTTTATGCTGTAATTTATTTTTTCTAAATTTTATTATCCAAAATCGATACCATATGGCTTACATTGTACCAGATTCTAAAAATTCAATATTCTTTTAATTTCATTTTTTTTTTGTTCATATCGAATATATTAATCCTTTATTCCCYCGACAATTGTAAATTTATTTACATTAAACGACTCTATTTAAATCACCAATTAACCATATTCAACATCAATCAAACATAAGATAATTTTTCTTCATTTTCACAAGTTCACTCCAAAGTTTGTGGTGCAATCATTTGTTTCTTTAAATTTACATTTACCACCACTATTTTTACTTCATCGACACATCATTCACACCGTGAACGTGATCTCTCAAATCCAAACTCAGCGTCCGTATAAAATTTAAAGCCTTTGAACAAAAATCATTGGATTTAGGGTTACCAAAAGAAAACCGATTCCAAATTTTGGCGCCACAACATTGGCGCCAAGAGAACAGTTCCCGCCAATTTCCTTCCCTCATCTCCGCCCTCTATATAACCCTAAAAGCTCATCATCAGTTTCCATCGGATTCCAACTCTATTTTCCGGTCAATTCTTCGGAAGTTTCTCTCTTCGTTTCCTGAATTCTCCGTCGAATTCTCTACCATGGTGGTTGCCCTAGGCCCCGGCAAGTTCTACGGCAGCAGCCTTCCCCGTCCCCGCTACTACACCGACGTCAAGCTCAACGACGAGCGTGTCGATCCTCCGACGCCGGTTCTCGATCCGCTCCTCTTGTGGGCGAACGAGGCTCACTGGTCAATGGGCGGCCTCAGCTTCAATCGCTTGAGGCTTCAGGGTCGAATCGAAGGCAACATCGACAAGCTCCGAGTAGAGCGTGAGAAGATTGCTAAGAAGAAGAAAAAAGCAGAGAAGGACTCTGCTTCCAAGAGATCTGATCTGGATGCCGGAGCCGACGTGGTTCGCCGGTTGGGCAAGTCGAAGTCTGTGTCTCCACCGCCGGCGCCGATTGCTACGAAGAGACGGCGATTAATTGCTTTGTTTGACGATGAGGATGATGATGGCGGCGAGTACAAGGAAGAGATCGGAGTCGTGAAGAGGAGGTTGGTGAAGAAGCTGGGAGACGATTTCGATCGGGTGGCTGCGGAGAGTAAGAGGAATCAATTGAAATATTCGAGGGACAGAATTTCACCGGTCGATGGGATCGGTGAATCTGTAATGAAGATCGTCGAGGAAATTAACGGAGCAGATACCGAGGGTAAGAAGATGAACAGCGAAAGAAAGGGGAAGAATGTCGGRAAATCGGAGTCGGGTTCTGTCTCTCGGACTAGAACTTCTCCAAGATTGGCCAATAAGCGTGGATCAAATTGATTTGGTAAAGGAGTACGGTGTAGGCTATTAATTTCTGGTTTTCTTTTACCTTTTTTTTCCTTTTCAAAAGTGGCCAAATTCTGTAATATTGTTGAATTCTTCGTCTGGCTATGGAAATATGAAAATGGAATGTGGATTCTGCAATTTGAAGGTCTAAATAATCTCTGCGTACGATCCAAGATGAAAAAAGAACACCAGTAAAAACACAAATCATCTCTTGGATGAAGAAATTTTCAGTAGGTTGCCCAATTATTTTTTCTTCACAAGAAGAGCCAAATAACCCCAAAGATTTAACCCCTTTTCAGCCTATGTTTGTTCTAATCAAAACCCTCTATTCGCATCTTAGGGAAATAAAAAAAGTCCATTGCTTTTGAGTGTAAACATGGRGAAAGAACCCTAACTGAAACTCAACGGTACTGCACATAAGGTGTTTGAAAGAATGCCGCCAAACCATCTGATAGATCTTCAAAACCCATTCTGTTTTCTCAAAGATCTCACTTTCAGAATGTCTCTCTGTTACTACAAGCATTCTAGCCTCAATTTCCTTAGCTTTATAAAACAAATTAACTGTTCTTAGTCAGGAAAGTTTGTTCCTTGACAGAAAATACAATGATATCTAGTTTTTACAATTCATTGAATTCTCTCACTATTCTCCTGGATCTAGTCAAACAGTACAGCGATGCTCATTAGAACACAATTTCAGACCACTCTTTCCAACCAATTAGTTTCAGATTTACCTGTATTCCATCCATTACAAAAAAGACAAGTGTAAATTTGCAGTTGGGAAGCATTTGAGGAGATGAACTTGACGCCAAAAAAGTGAAGAACAAGTGGTAATCTACATAAACCCAACAATCCTACAGTTACAAGGAAGAGGTAAACCAGAAAAACCCCTATGAAACAAATTTCCCAAATCCAGAACACCAGATAACATTGCTTCAGCTACACAGAAATTTCAGATATACCCATTAGATCCAAAACCCCAAACTGTTCCTCAATCCTCCCCCAACCAAAATTAGCCATCAAAAGTGAGGCAATTAAGCAACTTTTTAACTGTCATTAGTCTTCCTAAAGAGCGCAAAGTAACCCAGAAGAGCACAAACAGCAGCCACCACATTCCCTTCCTTCAACAAAATCCTGAGCACAACCCCAAAAATCTCTCTGGTGATCTTCCTCCCCTCCACCACCAGCGCCCTCCGCGGCTTCCCAAAGAAGTAAAGCAAGACGACGATGGTGATCCAAGTGACGAGCGTGGCCGGAACCATCACCGCCAGAGCAGCCACCATGGAAAGAACCCCAAAAACTGCCCCAAGAAGCAGAGATGCGTAAATCGCAGGCCACCCAAATGAAGCAGAAGAAACCCCCACTTGGGATTTGTACCAAGAGAGTATGGAAGCGAGGAAATTCCAAGAAGAAGACAAAATAAGGGCATAAACCAGAACAAAAAGACATACCCATGTCCTTCTTTTGCTCATAACTCTCATAAACAGCGAGTAAAATGGAGGTGGGGCTGTTTCTGGGTCTTCTTCCTTGTTGTCTGCCATTGGAATCAGCTTGATTTCCAAATATGTAAGCTGTGTTTCTGGGCAGTCTGCTCTGCGTTTCTTCCTCTTTCGGTGTTAAAGGGCAGCGAGAAGGTGAAAAAGCAGATGCATTTGCTAGCGATGGTGAAGGTAAAGAAGCTCAAACTCCACGCTCCCTTCTGCTGCGGTGTCGCCAACTTTCCAATGGGTTCATTCCAATGGGTTTTGTGATTGGAACGTGTAGTACACGAGCCAAGAGAAGAACTGGTGGGTGAAATTTAATAGCTGAACCCAAGGGATTGTCCCGAATGACAGTTTGGCTTTAGGCTCTACTTTCAGCTTTTGTAATTTTGTGACCTTCTTTCACCTCCTCTAAATGAAACTAATTATATTTTTTTGGTTAAATTATATATTTTTTTTCTTTTTTTCATAATAAATTGCGGACGAAAGATTTAACTTCCAACTTTCTACAAGATAACAATGTATCTTAATTGTGGAATTTTATTCATGTTAACTTGTTAAATTAGAAGGTTAATTTATGAGTTTCATGTCTATGTCTAAATGGGTTCCTCAATTTTTAATGYTTTATTTATTTCAAAGAAAGAAAGAAAAAACTTATAAATGTGTATTGAGTCTCTTGACTTTAAAAATATCTTATAAATCATTGAATTTTTTATTTTGTATCTAATAAGTCACTAATATGTTCGATATTTTTAGAATTAATGGGTTTTGAATTTTAAATTTATGTCGATTGGGTCAATAATCTATTACATACATTATTAAAAGCTTAAGGAACTATTAGACATAAATTTGAAAGTCTTGAGACATTTTAGATRAAAGTTTTAGAGACATGTTATTTCATAGACATGTTAGACACAGACATAAAAAGATTCACTACCTAAACTTGTAATTCAACCCAATCTTTTTTCCATTTTTATATTTAATTTAATTGTATTGATACATACAAATGACAACTATTCAAAGCCACCTCAATAATTAATTAGTTTAGGCAAATCTTAGTGGGATAAGACACTTATTACCATTCTAAAGGTTGATGTTTCAATTTTCACCCATAATTATTGAACTCAATTAATTAGTTCAAAGAGTTTTATAAGAAAAAGAAGAATTGGGTGATTTAGGAGTTTATCTCACAAATGACAAATGGATACCTTGGTTGAGAACGAGGATTAATATTGATGTTTATTTACGTTTAACAAGATTTTGTTAGCACAATAGATATGGGTACCTTCGTTTATGATGTTTATTAACCTTCAATTTCAAAGGGAAGAGTTAATGAGACTGAAGCTTTAACAATATACGAGTCTTCAAAGKAGGGTTGACTCGAGTTTGTTTAAGATTTTAAGGGTAAAATCAAAATGAGAATCATTTTGACTTCTTCATAGATTAGGGAACTTCCAATGGATGAAGAATCTGGCTATTGGATTTTTCTTTCACAAGTTGGTCTTGGAGTTTTTCTTTATTATAAAAGGAAAAAAAAAAAGAGTTAGTTTTTGTCAAATTAAAAACCTATTTCAAAGGTATGATAATTATTATATTGAAATGCAAATAATATGCAATTTTCTTGTCTTGAAAATTAAAATGTCACAAAAGATTAATAATAAAGTATTATTCTTTTACCAAGTGCAACGCATGATGACTCATCATATATACAACAACTAGATATCCCCTAAGCCGAGTTACAACTTAAATAACACAACTTTCCATATTAATATTCATAATTCATAATAAAATAGGTTTAAAAAAACCACTTTGTTTCAATGAATTCATTGGAGTAATAATTATAAACAATCATTTAGTTTTATTAGTTCAACAAATACGAGATCTAATAAATATCATATCTACTTTAAATTTGTAATAATTTAATTCTTAAATTTTATGTTATGATTTAGCTTTCATCGTGAAATATCTCCTTAAAACACCACACATGTTTCCTATGAAAATAGATAATAAATTGATTCAAAAGATAAAAAAAWTTTTGAACTATTAAGACTAAATCAAGTAAACTATTACAAATTAAAATTTAAAGAAACTACATAGATTTAATTATTATTGTTATGGGGTAAAATTGAGAACGACACATGGACCGCTCCCATCAAAACGCGTAGTCCTAGATCGAAATTCAAGTCCGCCAAACTTAGGATAAGGGACTATGTTGGAATCATCTAGTTCAAGTTGATCACACCTCGGATAGAGCATGCTAGCAAAATATCCACTGACATTCAATAGAAGGACGATCGGATTGTCAAAGTATCTCTATGACCAGCAGAAATATTCTCTTATTGACATGTACAAAATATTTACCATCTAGACTCGTCTCTCAATATCTTGCACGCAACTTTTGGCTGGTGAATTTGCTATTTCAAATACGTTACTAACTCATGCTTTAGAGTACATCTGATGGAGTCTAATCCGTACACATTGATTACACAACGGTTGCCATTTTGAGTCATGCTTCACAATTATCGCCCAAAAAAGTGTTTTGTGCAAAAGAAAAGCAAAAGAAAATTCGACGATAAAACAATTGACTGAAAAATCCAGCATCCACCAATCCTGTTCGTTCCCGTTTTGACGATCTGATGGCTTCTTTTGTTGACCAAAATCAAATCATCCGTCGATTGATTTATGCCTCTACTGTTCGTCCATGAATCCAAATTCCATACCCTTGTGTTGCTGTTGCTGTTGATTGTTGTTCCTCAAAGACTTGCTTCCCAAATCGCCTCCATCATGTCTTCTTCTCTCTTCTCTGCCGTTATTTTGATTCTCATCTCCATTTCCGTCTCAGTTTCCTCCACAGACTTCGTCTTCAACACCAATTTCACTTCCACTGAAATTTTGCTTTTTGGCAACGCCACAATCGAATCCTCTGTTCTTATTCTCACCAAGAACACCCCCTTCACCATCGGCCGTGCCCTCTACCCTTCTAAAATCCCGATCCGTTTCACCGGTTCTTCTTTTTCCTTCGCCACCTCCTTCATCTTCTCCGTCGTTCCGTACCGGAATCTGCTCCCCGGCCATGGTTTCGCCTTTCTCTTCACACCCTCTACTGGAATCAACGGCACCAGCTCCGCCCAGAATTTGGGGCTTCTCAATTTCACGAATAATGGCAGCCCCAGTAACCATGTCTTCGCTGTTGAGTTCGATTCCTTCCAGAACCAAGAATTCAACGACACCAACGATAACCATGTGGGCGTGGACCTGAATTCTCTCGTGTCTATTGTTTCCTCTGCTGCAGGGTTTTGGGGTGGGGAAGATGAAGATGAATTCACGGGTTTGCAGATTAATAATGGAGATACTTACCAGGTTTGGATTGAATGTTTAAATTCTTTGGTTAATATTACAATGGCTGAAGTGGGGGAGAAAAAACCACGAAGGCCATTAATAACCCACTTTGTGAATTTTTCTGGATTGCTTCTGGATGAAATGTATGTGGGATTTACAGCAGCCACAGGGCAATTAGTTCAAAGTCATAAGATATTATCTTGGAGTTTCAGTACCACTAATTTGTCGATTGCTGATGCTTTATTGACAACTGATTTGCCATMTTTTGCTCCTCCCAAAACCTCCATTTTCAATTCAAATGCATTCATTGTGGGGATAACTGTGGGTGGTGGTGGGCTTGTAATTGTCTGCAGCATTGTAATCTATGTTGTAATTATCACAAGGAGGGGACGGAAGAAACTAGAGGAAGAAGAAATTGAAGACTGGGAGTTAGAATATTGGCCTCATCGATTTACTTATGGAGATGTTTGTGAAGCAACTGATGGGTTCGCAGAAGCCAATGTGATTGGTTTTGGGCGCAATGGGAAGGTCTATAAAGGGACATTAGGCAGATCAAAAGTTGCTGTGAAGAGAATCTCTGTTGAAGCTGAGTTTGGAATGAGGGAGTTTGTGGCTGAGATTTCAAGCTTAGGAAGATTAAAACACAGAAATCTAGTAAAGCTTATAGGATGGTGTAAGAAAGAAAAAGGAAGCTTAATCTTAATGTATGACTATATGGAAAATGGAAGTTTAGACAAGAAACTATTCGAGTGCGAAGAAGAGAATGCAATTCTGAGTTGGGAGAAGAGGATGAAGATTTTAAAAGATGTAGCCGCAGGGCTGTTATATCTGCACCAAGGCTGGGATTACAAGGTTCTACATAGAGACATAAAGACAAACAACGTGTTACTCGACAAGGACATGAATGCTCGATTGGCAGACTTCGGGTTGGCTCGAATACACCCCCACGAGCACAAGGCGGACACAACTCAAGTGGTGGGAACCGTCGGGTACATGGCACCAGAGGTGGTTCGAACAGGGCGAGTATCGACACAAGCCGACGTATTTGGGTTCGGGGTGTTGGTTTTAGAGGTGGTATGTGGGAGGAGAGCAACAGAAGAAGGGAAGCCATGGCTGATAGATTGGGTAAGAGGGGTAATGGAGAAAGGGGAGCTTACAACTGCAGTTGATGAGAGATTGAAAGGTGAGAATGGTGGGAATGTGAAGATTGATGAAGTGGAGAAAATGGTTTGTTTGGGATTATTATGTGCACATCCTGAGGCTGGGGCAAGGCCAACTATGCACCAAATTGTAAACATTTTGGATGACAGAAAGGGAACGGAAAGTGGTTCAAATGATGGATTGTTAAACAGATTAAGAACAACAAGGCTATTGTCTGAGATTTACCAAGGCAATAATTTTCAGCAGCATCCAACGTTTGAAGAAATCAAAAATTATTCCTCTTCAACATCACTTCCAGAATCAGATATTTTAAAGAGTGGCCGCTGAGCTGACAGAAATTTTGTCATTTTCATGCAAGGATAAGAGATGTGGTTTAATTTTTATTTAGATTATTCATTGTCTATACTATGTTTAATAGAGTATCTGATCATTATAGTTATTTATTCATTTTGATTACTTTAATTTCTTTTTCCCAAGAGATAATTGGAGCGGAGGAGTTAAATTTTAAACATTTTTAATACTATTGTGACATTTACAATTATTTAAAATTATAATCTAATTAAAAAAATGTTGTTATCTTGATTGGTTTAAGATAAATAAAAATTTATTATGTCTCAAAACAAGATGCGGGGATAGCTCAGTTGGGAGAGCGTCAGACTGAAGATCTGAAGGTCGCGTGTTCGATCCACGCTCACCGCAATTCTTTTGGTTTTTTTTTTAACCGAAGACTCTATTGGGCTTATGAAGCGGAATCCGGCCCATTTCGTGTAATAGTGGGCCAATTTGAATTTGGCCTTTTTGGGTATTGGGCCTTCTGGCGCTTGCATCAACGTTTCAATCCGGAAGTCTTTTCTCCATGATTGATCCTTAAGCATTTTAATAATAACGTGAGAAATTCAACCGTTGAAAAACTGGAGAAAAAATTTATATTAAAAATTTAGTTGTGTTTTATAATATTAAGGCTTAATCTCATTTGTTATTTTGGAAAATGAAGAAATATAGGATGTAAATTTTTTGTCAATTGGAAGTAATCTATCAGAAATTGAGTTAAAAAAACATAAAAAATAATAGTACTATATTCATTAATATTATGATTGGAATTCTATACAATATTGATATATATCATTTAATCTATATATGGTTGGATCGTTGTTCGAGTAACAAAATCCAATAGGGTTAGTGTTTTACGCTAATATTCGTTACATCATTGATCCAATCCTTCAAATTTTGTGACTCTAAACTTCACTTTTTTCCACTTTGAATATCGAACCAAGTAGCTAACGGAATTAACTAGCTAAAAATGCATTTCATCAATTATGAAAAAAAAATTTGTTTAAGTAATAACCAAAGAGAAAATCCTCTACTTTCAATCTAGGGAAAGTGATGAAATATGTTGACTTTTTTTATCCTTCAATCTTGATTTGGAAATGGAAGAACTCTTCTAGAATAAAAAAAAAAAAGGAAATAAAGGGGAAAAAGGGGCATATCTAGATGGATGATGGATCCCACAGAGGAAATAAAATTGAAAATTTTTATTTGAAGTGTATGATGATGCTAATGCACAAAATTAGGAATTTAGAGATAAACCATCATCATTTTATTAATATATTTGCCTAATTTGATATGACTAACCAACTTGCCCATTAATTTTAAATTTGATTTTGCAAGATTTTATCTTCTCCCTAATGAAGCTATTGCTTATATATATATATATATATATATATATATATATATATATATATATATATATATATATATATATTATTACAAAAAACTAAGTTTTGGTACTTTGTCCAAATAAAAAATTCCTTGTTTTGGGAATTATTGGCTCTTTATAATATATATTATTATTGGAAAAAAACTAAGTTTTGGGTTACTTTTATCATTATTTGGAGTTCTTTTTCATTACATCAAATCTGGCTTTAAAATATCTCCCCAACTTTATATTACCTAAAATTATAATTAATTTCAAACGAATTTTTTAAATAAATGTTTGCTTTCAGTAATAATAAAACAAATACTTTTTTTTTCTAAGTACTTAATAACTAAACAATTTGATATTTGGTCTCAAATACTGTGTTTTTTTTGCCAAAATACTTAAAAATATTTGTTAAGTCCTATCAATCAAATTTAGACACCATATAAATGCTTANCATTCTCTCAGTAACTTTATAGTAATAGGACAATAAACTTTCGGAAATGAATTTTTAGCTCCATTTAAATTTATAAATTAATAACTTCAATTTAGATCACCAAGTTTACAGGTCAAATCCCTGCATCAATTCTAATACTTCAATCCATCACACTAATTTGTAAGTATCCGATATCAATTAGGTACATTTCTTAATTCTGCAATGTTTCACGATAAAAACACGTAGTAATTAATAACAAAATTTTATATTCTAAAATAGTGAGAACCATAATAATTTATGAAACTTCCTTATTGACAAAAATATATAGTATACCCGATAACAATATTTTATATTTTGGACCATAATTTAGGAAGCATCCTCTACTTAATCACAATCAACCCCTAACTCAACCCAACTTAGTTGGGGTTACAATTTAAAAGGGGTATTAATTCTAAACCATGGTTTATAAAATGACAAACTAATCAATTAAATTAAAAATCAATAATAATTGAGATTAGGAATTTTGAGAATCTCGAGGAAAAAGGGAAAACAAAAAAAAAAAAAACAAAAGTTGGAAAAAGTGGAAACCACTAATAATATTTTCATAGTTGTTTCAAATCATCCAACCTTATCCAATATTCCAAACCCCACATGCTTTCACTAAATATATATAGGCCTACTCTTATTATTATACTAATATCTTTTGTTATTTATTATTTTTTTATTTTTATATCCACGAGACCCACATGAAAAATGGATAAGATTTTCTTCTTTTCTTTTGAATAAATATCTAAATAATTGAGCTATGCTTAGATCAATATTAAATTTGTTTTAAATTGTTCATTCTTTTTTCGTGTAAGATTTCTCTTTAAAAATACACTTAATCAAAATGTTTTAGAATATTGAAGAGTTTTAAAATTTTTATGATGTTTTTTTATATAGTTAGTATCTTAAAAAAAATACTTTAAAAAATATTAAATTAGTATGTCTTTTTAAGAGTGAATTTCTTTAATTTATAATTGCTAGTTTTAAAAGTTATTCCACTAGCCACTTGGTAGTCTTTTCCTGTGGGCTTTCTTTTGTTTGTTTTGTTGTTTTTTTTTTTTAAATATAAATATAAAGACTAAAGAGTTATGATATGGTATGTCTCAAAAAATAAATAATTTATGAAAAAGTTATCATTTTTATTTTTATTAAAATTTTCACATATACTTAACTCGCTAAATTTACTTAAATATAGCCATAAATTTGTATTAAGAAGCGTCCATTATACATAAAACTGGAGTTAAAATTTTACCAATAATGATTAAAATGGTCACCTTTAAAAAAAATACATGGACCAAAATAGATATATTAAGAGTACAAAACTAACATTAATAAAATTTTAAGTTACGATGACCAAAATACAAAGATTACCAAAATGAACCAAAGTCCAAAATATTGTGATCAATATCGTTTTAAAACCAATAATCTAATAGGATTATGAACGGTTCAAATTTTAATTATTTATTATACTTGTTTTTCTATATTAAACTTAACTAAAATATTTGAACGTGGAATTGAATGATAAAGTCGATCAATTATGGTCAAAAAAATGAAATAAAAATCCATATAAATTTTCAATTGTGTTCTATGGTCATATTTGAAATGTATTTTTCAGTTGTTTAATACTATGCTGCAACCTTTAATTTAAAAATTAAATTCCACTTTGTCATGCTCATACTTTGAATCCTATAAAATTTTGATCAAATTTCTGTTTCAATTTTTTAAATCTAAGAAACTATTTGAAAGTGTTTGGACGCATTATTAACGAGAAAAAATAAATAATTCTTCTAATTTTATTAATCATTCTCTAAATCTGAAAAAAACTTAAATTTATTTTTCAAGCTCAAACTTACTTCTATCTCTTATTTAACAAACTTTATGGAATAGTCCATTTGCATCTATAATATATCTTTTCTTATATAGGTTATTAGATCTTAATTTCATTATTTGTGAATATGTAATATTTAAAAGTAGATAATTTTAATGAAATATGTGTTCACTCAAATATAAACTAATTACCACGAATTTTAATGATGACCAAACGCAGATGGCCACGTCAGCATACTGATAATATATATGAAAATATAACAAATTTTGGGATTTAGCATTTTGTGTGGTTGGTCCCATACTACGAGAGCGGTGGCCACTAAAGTAAACAAAACCAATAATGTGGTTTGCAAAATGACAAAATTGACCTTCAAATTTTTTCTTTTGATCTATTAAAATATCTATTTTAATTCTTAAATTTATAAGTTTATTTTATTTTAGTATAACTTTGAAATGTCTATTCTAATTTTTAAACTAAAAAGTAATCAGTCTAATTCTCATTATTAATTTATCATGAACTATTTAAACAATGAATATTATGATTTTGAGTAACGGTTTCTTTTAATGATACAACGAATATAGAAATACAAGATTGAACCTACAACTTCTAAAAAATAATAAGTTATTCTATTTGTTGAGTTATGTTCATGTTGAGATGTTGAACATGTATATTAACTAACATGAAATTGTGTTGCTCTATTGAACGTACATTTAACTAAAATTGAGGTCATCATTTAAAAAATACAGTAGAGCAATTTATGAAAGTGTCCACTCGATGAACTCGATTTAATCCAAAATAAAAAAATGTGAATTCTCAATTATTTATGCATCGGGATGTTATAGTTAGAAAAAAAACTCTATTTTCTCAAACGAATTTGAATGCTTTTCTTTTAAAAAAATAATAATAATAAAAAAAGATATTCTCGTGACTTTAGATTTTTCTCTACCTATGTAGGAAAAAACATCCTACCAACTTTGACTCTCGGTTTTTTCCTCTATAAATAAAAGAAAATACACATAATTAACATACGCCACAAAATTTTAATCTTTGCTACATTTCACATAACATATCAATTCCAACTTAATCATTAGGATATCACTACATCGGTGTGTAATTCTGCATCAAAGGAAGAGACGTTTCTACTAATACATTGTACGAGTTTTTGGCATCCAGGTTCGAATCTCTGTGTTTTCATTTACATCAATTATTTGGTGCTGTTAGGCCAATTTATGCGACACCAATATTCCCTCTTTTCGCACTAAAATTAATTTCCACAAACAATTCTTAAATACTACGGGACATAATTTCTAAAGGTTGTTGGGTTTGCTATAATAAATGGGAATATCCACTAGAGAGAACTATCCCATGTGGCGCACTAATGCGAAGGGCCCCAATCTGAGAATTTGGATAAAGCTCACACATCAATGTTTGTAGATTAATCCACGTGTCAGCTATACTGCCAGCTGTCCTAGATAATTGCACCAGATTGATGAATGCCGCCACGTTTCGCTCGTGATTCGGACAGTTCTTTCGAAATAGTTTCCATGAAAGCCGATAAGTTTTAGTTTTTGTATAGGATGAAGACAAAAAAAAAAAGACGTGGGTGAAGTGAGCATTTTTCGTGCGGGTGTGTGTGTGAACTGTGATATATATATATATAATAATATAAATTATAAGTGATACATAAGCAGTGGTTAGTTTGTTTTAGAGTTATTTTTTAAACATTTTTGAATATTCAGATAATTATTCCCAACTCTTTTTCTGTGCAGAACTAAAATTTGTTGAGCTGACGTGGAATTTGCTGTCTAATCCACCACGCAGTGGAGCCGGAATTTTCATTCACGCGGCGGCTCGTTCGTCCAGCCGGGATTAGTGGGCCCCATTTCCGGCACCCAAAAGTTCCTCCTATAAATACCCACAATTTTCCTCCCGGAATTACAAAACACGTGAATCTACCTTTTTTCCACCACTGACCGGAGCGATGGCGAGGATTCCGGTGACTGAACGAACTTCCGGGGAGGATATCGACTCGATGTGTCGGACGGCGAGTTTTTCCGATTTGTTTTTTCGGTTCATGGAGGAGGGAGAGACCAGAAGTAGTTACTCCGATGACGAGGACGATGAGAATTCTTTTGACGTGAATGAAAGTAGAGCGTTCTGGAATTCTCAGGAAGAACTTCTCCAGGTACTCACCGTAGTCTCTGATCTTATCGATTTTGAACTTGATCTGGTAATTTTGATTTGAATTAGGTCAGAAACAGAGGAAATGCCGGATACAGAGGTGAGGCGGTGAGGGATTTATGTGATGCGATTTTTTGAATTTGATTTGCAGGCAACGATACGGAGAACGAGTTCGATTGAGTTGAGAATCCGCCGAGCGACGGTGGAGATTGTAAGGGAGTTGAATATAGAGTCGACGATATGCGAGTGCGGGAGGTCGGCGGCGGGAGACTGCCGGAGCTGCTGGCGGAGAGAGATCTGCAATCGGCTGCAACTCGCCGGATTTAATTCTGCGGTGTGCAAATCTAAATGGAGAAGCTCGTTGGACATTCCATCAGGTAATTAAACAAATTGACCTAACCAGAACTCAAAATGGAATCCGTTGAGAAATCTGATCCGAAGAATCTCATAAGCCCTAAAATTTCAGGCGAACATTCGTATTTGGAAGTTCTGGACAATTCGAGTTCGAGAAGAGGGGAAATTCGGGTGGTGATCGAGGTGAATTTTAGGGCAGAGTTCGAGATGGCAAGAGCAAGTGAAGAATACAACAAATTAATCCGCCGATTGCCGGAGGTTTTCGTGGGGAAATCGGAGAGATTATGGAGTTTGATTAAAATACTCTGCTCGGCGGCGAAGAGGTGCACGACGGAGAAGAAGATGCATTTGGCGCCATGGAGGAAGCAGAAATACATGCAATCGAAGTGGCTGGGCAGGAGGGAGAGAGCGACGCCGGCGCCGGAGCCGCTGCCGGGAAACTTCTCCGGGCGGCCGGTGAAGCCGAAGGCGTCGATGCTAACATTCGATCTACTGGACAACTTACCGGGCCTGCATTGCACTGCCGTTGAAGTTGTTTGAGGAATTTTCACATAGAGTTTTAACATTTTAGTTAAATCAAAATGTGTATAAAATTAAAAATGAAATAATATCGTGTATAAATTCTAATGCCAATTGTGAGATTTGTTTATATATTTGCTTTGTATTTAATCTGTGCATCAGATCAGAACAGGGATGACAATTGACAATGAGATTCACGGTGGTCTGTTATATGTGAGACATTTTCAATTTCCACTTTGCTGTTCCAAACTAAATTCTTGTAAAGATAGATTTTTGTAACAAAATTCTTTAAAGAATTTCAGAGTTAAAATAAGAGAGTTTTGGAATTAAAAGAAAGTAGTATATAAAAGAAAATGAAAATACTTGGTTCCTTTTCTAAATAATATTCATTTTTACGTTGGTAGAAACTTTTTTCAAATTCTTCCACCACTTAATTGTCTCTGACGACTATATCATTTTCAGATTATAAGACCGTGATGTTATGTTGATGTCATCTCAAGATATGAAGAGGTAACTATTTGGACACAAGATCACATTTATTGATGTTAATTTTTCTCAAAACAAATTATTAATTATATTATATATTACATAATAGCATAATATTAGTGAAGTAGAATACTAGTGAAGTTAATTTTGGTGCAATGGATGTAGCACCTACCTTACTTTCTTGCTCTCTTGGCTCTTGGATTTATCAACATTTTAGAAGTGAGTATTACATCTGCCAAAGACTTTGGAAATATTATATGCTATTATGTAATATATAATATAATTAATTTATTCTTCAAAAAGCCAACTGTCGATATATGTCCGTTCTAGTAGAGGCGACCACAAATGTGGGTCCAGACGATATTTTTGAAGAGACAATAAACGATCATATCTTGATGTTTTAAAAAAAAAATTAGTCGGGATGTCAATGAAACGCCATGTTTTATAGTCGTCCCTTGGAGAGACAATCAAATGCTAAAAATTGTGTAGTTATTTCCTAAAAAAACGACTAAATGGCGAAAGAATTTAAAAAAAAATTATTTCTAGAATAAATTTTAACCAATGCATTATACATTTAACATGTTTTAAAAAAAAACATTATTTTGCAAATAAATTTGAAAAATAAGCATTCTTTAAATAAATAAAAAAATCCTTAGTCCTCAAACCAGGGGCATCTGAATTCAGCTCTCTCCGGTGCTTCTACTAAACATCGACAAAGGATCATATATGGTTTATTATTATTTTTTTCTATTCCTAATTTTATAAATAAACCAAAAATGATCTTAAAAAACTAATTATAACATAATAATTATATATTTTATTTTTAAAGTAAATTTTATATACAATTTTAATTTTTAATTTAAAATTTGAGATTGTTATGCAATGGAAACCGAAAGTCGAGGTACAGGTGAAGATCGGAAGGAAGCCACTAGGCTGCGATGGGCTCGGTCCCGACCCAGGGCTCGGTCCCGACCCGTGGCACGGCCCACGGCCCTCCAGCAGCCCTTCGTCTTCGATCCACGGTTTCGCCCAGGCCCGCCAACGAAATTAGGGTTAGCTAGCTATGGAATGTTCTGGAACAACCTGGCGACTATAAGTAGCGATCCAGCCTTAGAGGTAAGGGCATCTAAAACTAGCGACATTTCACATTATCCTCCTGCTAACTTAAGCATCGGAGCCCGTGTGACTAGAGTCGCACCGGTTTAGCTCATCTGGTTTTGCAGGTACTAGTCCCGGATCAACAAGTTTGGTAGGTGCGAGGAGGAGAACCGGAGGAYCGAAATCCACRCATCAACAATTGGCGCCGTCTGTGGGGACGAYTTAAAGCATCCAGTTGAGCAACATGACACCARAGAGGAGTCCACGRCGCTCTGATGATRACTGCTCTGCCAAGAGGAGGCTGAACTTGGGCGACCCCCAGGTTGGAGGACCCGAGGATGGGACCAGCCAGCCAAACCAAGAGCGTCAGGAGGGGTTGCCCGAGGAGTAGGCATTAACGACCCCTGAGCCATTCCAAAAGCAGTTCGCGGTCTTGGAAGACAAGGTAGAGGGCATGCTTCAACGCATGACCCAAGTCCTTCGACAATTCGAGTGACAGGAGTCCGACGAAGTGCCCCTTGTCAGAGACCCGAAAAAGGGGAAGGGCCCAACGGAAAGCGATACCGAGGAGTCAACGAACAGTGTAGGGAGCAAGTTGCGGATAGGTGGAAATACCAGGCRACGAACCCGAATTTTCGACCCTCGAAAGACGAAAAAGCAACATAAATCCCCGGCACCAAATGGGGGCAAGAGCGACCATGATGACAGAAACTCTGAACCGATAACTCTCGACAAAGGCAAACCGGTAGATCGGCCAGAGTCCTCGGAGAAGCGACATAGCCACAAGGAGAAGGGATTCGACCTCGAAGAACTACTGGATCAAGCCGACTCACCGTTCACGGAGGAAATCATGAGAGAAAAGGTCCCTCCAAAATTCAAGCTACCTACGGTGAAGCAATTCGACGGGATGACCGACCTAGTGGACCATCTAGATGCTTATCGGGAATGGATGGATATCTACAGAGTGTCGGAAGCGGTCAGGTGCCGGGTATTCTCGACTACTTTAAACGGGTCGGCCAGAATATGGTTTCGACAATTAAAACGAGGGTCGATCTCGAGTTTCAAGAGCTTGGCCAGAGCATTCGTGACCCAGTTTGTAGGGGGGCGGTGTCGGAGCCGACCCGTGGCTTATCTTTTAACCATTAAGCAGAGGACGACAGAGAGTCTACGCGACTATGTAGCCCGATTCAACGAGGAGAAGCTGCAGGTAGAAGGCCTTACAGACGCTGTATCTCTGCTGGCCTTCATGTTCGGCGTCAGGGATGAAAATTTGCCATTCTCGTTCGGAAAGAGAACACCGAACACCTTCTTGGAGGCGCTGAGCCGAGCTCAGAGGTACATGAGCGCTGATGAGTTCTTTTACTCAAGAAGGGAACCTGACGGAAAGCGAACCGACCCAAAGAGGGAGAGGTCGGGAGATAAACCGCAGGGGTCGAGATGGGAGAAGAGGGATCGGAGTAGCCAGAAAGATCCACCCCGAAAATTTGAAAAGTATACC